GATGTAATACAAAAGAGGTTAACTAAAAGATGCTGTCTTGAATAAGAATGAATTCCTGAGGTATTTTAAATATATATTTAAAATAAAAATATATAACAAGCCCAGTTAATGTCTATTTCATATAATGTGTAAACAAAAAATAAACATTTAATATATTGATGTGCATAGTGAATATATATTTAATGTACTATGTATTTCCTCACTTTTCATTTAAAGATGCATAGCAACAAGACCACCATAGTAACAGTAAGTATCTCTAGTGTCAAAAGAAAGCAACTTTCTTAAAGAAATGGCCATTCCAGCTGTGGAGCAGAAAATGTACAAGGTGAGCCTGAAATATCTTCCTGTAACAGATGATGAAGAAGCTACCCAAGATGATTGGGGTACAGAGTTACCATATGGTCCAGCAATTCTCCTGGGTACATACCCAAGAGAAACCAAAACATACGTCCATACAGGAAGTTATATATAAATGTTCATAGGAGCAATATAGTAGCCAAAAGGTGGAAACAATTCAAATGTTGATTAACTGATGACCGTATATAAAATGTGGTATAATGGAAGTTCAAAAAAAATGAATGAAGTACAGGTACATATTATAAAAGGCAAACCGTGAAAATACACACTGAGTGAAAGAGGCCAGTCACAAAGGCCCAAATATCGTATAATTCCATTTATAAGGAATGTCCAGAATAGGTTGGAGGGACTGGGGAGAGAACGCCAAAAGGTGTGGGGTTTCTTCTTTGGGCAATGAAAATTTCTAAAACCAATGCACAACTCTGTGAGTACACTAAAAAAACATTCAGTTGTAAGATTTTAATAGGTGGAATGTATGGTATGTGAATTACATCTCACCAAAGGTAGTAAATATAAGGCAAGAGACAAGTGTTTATCTTGCCTTTTCAATATGAACTGTACCACTGGGTGCCCAAATAGTATACGAATCACAACAGCATTTCATTATAAAAATATTCCAATTTAAATCAGATAGTCAAAATGATGAAAGGGGAAAAAAAAAACATATGAAAGGATCTAGGCACCGAATAGCAAAAGCTGCTGCCTGGCTGGTGTGGCTTAGTGGATTGAACGGTGTCCCATGGACTGGGAGGTCCCAGTTTGATTCTTGGTCAAGGCACATGCCTGGGTTGCGGGCTTGATCCCCAGTAGGGGGCGTGCAGGAGGCAGCCAATCGATGTTTCTCTCTCATCAATGTTTCTATCTCTTTAAAAAAAAAAAATCAATAAAAACATATTTAAAATAAAATAGAATATCAACAACTGCTAACACCACAAAAAGAGAGACAACCAGACATTAGGTACCACCTGATGAAAGAACATAACACCACCTGTACTTTTGCCAAAGAGATCTAATATGAATCTGATCAAATTTCAGGATCCAAATGGCAATTTGCAAGGACTACAAGAACATAATGAACTGTGCCATGAGTATACAATGAACAAATTCCAGACAGTTGGAAACTCTTCAGGTCTAATGCCCTAGGTCCTTCAACAGATTAAAATTTAGGTGAAAGCAAGGGATAGAGGGGAAACCTGTACATGGAGATACTTAAAAGATCTATCGCCTGGCCGGTGTGTCTCAGTGGAAACCTATATATGGAGATACTTAAAAGATCTATCGCCCGGCCAGTGTGTCTCAGTGGTTGAGTGTCGACCCATGCACCAAGAGGTCGCCGGTCTGATTCCCAGTCAGGGCCCAGGCCCAGGTTGTGGCCCGATCCCCTGTGGGGGGCATGCAGGAGGCGGCCAATCTATGTTCTCTCCCTCTCTCGCCCTCCCTTCCTCTCTAAAATCAATCAATAAATATATTTTTTTTAGAAAGATCTATCAAAATTTTAGTAATAGGCAAGACTAAACAGTGGTATTTAGGAATGCAGAGTTGGGTGGTAAAACTGTAAATGAACTGAAAAGTGATGACTGTAACGTAAGGATACCGGTTACTTTGTGGAGGGGACAGGTTGATAGCAAAATGGGGCACGTGGAGACACTTCTGGAGTAGTTAGCAAAGTTTCTTGACTTGCAAGGGGATTACAAGGTTGTTTGCTTTCTAATTCACTAAATTATACATTTGGTGCTTTTATATGTCTGTGTTATATTTTATAATCATGATCATAAACACTTCACCTCATACATACACGATTTTGCCTCAGCACTAAAGAACACCAAATAGATGGAATACAATAGGATGTCAATAGTACCCGAAGGATAAGATCAGAGATAAAATTTTAGAAGGAAAAGAATGGAGTTATCTTGGGAATGCTTTATGAAGAACTGTAATTTCAGCTGAGTCATAAAACCTGACAGACCACGATCACATGAAAAGGAGAAAGCACCATATAGGGGAAAAAAGGGGGGTAGGGGGATATACAATGCATAAATGCTAAGACTGATACATGCCTGAAAGAGGAATTAGGGGCCTAATTAAAAAAAAGGGCTTTATTGGATTTTGTCCAATGAAGTAAACAAGTAAAAAATCTGGGAGTATTTTCATTATTTACGTCTCCTCCTCAGAAATCACTGGCATCAATTGTTGGTGTGCCCTATTTCTTAAACATATCAAGGTAGGACAAAAAGTGAGAGGGCTACAGCATGGGATTAGGCAACAGATCTGAGGTCAAATGCCAATCACATAATTAATGGCTGCTTAGATTTTGGACAAGTCACTTAGTAACTGCATCTGTTTTCACAGGAGGATGGATAATACTTTAGGTAGGATAAGTGTCTGTCCCATAGTGGGATCTTAAATTTTCACCCATGCATTTTATAGTTAAAAGATTTTAGAAATCATCTAGTCCAATAATCTGAAATTTATGTCCAGCAAACATAGGTTTGGTTAATATCTATTGTTTTGAACAGCAAAGATACAGAACACTTCCAGTATTGTCTATTGGACAGCACTGCAATATTTCCCAGTAGTATTAATGGATTTTTGAATTTAAGATTATTCTTGGATTAATTGTTTTTATTAAGTTAAAAGGCAGAAGTAGAAGTGAGCTATAATATAAACCACCATTCAGATGTCACAAAACCAGAGCATTAACAATGGATTAAGAGACACACAGGAGAAAAAGCAAAATTTAAACCAATGGTCTTTGAGTGGAGCAGCCATTAGTAGCACCTGGGAAGCTAAAGAATCCCAGGCCCCATCACAAATATTCTGATTACACAGGTATAGAGCACAGTCCAATAAAGCATTAAAAAAATATTTGTATGTATTTTATACACACACACATACATATGCCTGCACAAGCAAAATGTATTTCTGAAAGGGCAAATACTGTAACAGCAAACGCTGTAGGGCAGGGGGCTTAGACACTTGGACTGAAGGGAGGTTTATCATACCCATTTGTGTACCGTTTTCATTTACCATATGCCCACATTAGTTTTCAATAAAAAGAAAACACTGTGTCTCTGTGGGGAGAACATATATAGAGGAAAATGTGTAAGAATCCATTCTACTGACAAATACTTGCCGAATATCTGCTCTATGAAAGATACTAGTACAACAATAAGCAAAGCTAAACAGAAAGAAAACAAACAAAAAACCCTGTCCTTTACAGTGCTTACTTTCTAGTTTGAGTGTGTGTGTATGTTTTACATTTAACTTTATCTACATTCCTATGTTTGAGAAAAATTAGGGTTTTCACTATAAAAATTTAAACAAGACTCTTTAGCCAAGCAATCCCCCCAAAATATTTTCTTTCACAAAAGGCAATCGTGTAAACTGGATAAAATGTACTTTTAAAACAGTCAAATAAATTACTGTAAAGACTGTTATTAAAAATCATGAGAGAATGTTATATTATCAAAGAACAGAGATAGTGAGCACTTTTCTAGATAGATAAGAGAGCCTCCAATTTTCAAATGCAATCTATTAGTTGAGCCAAGTCAATTGAGAAAGATTATATTGTAAGCAAAAAAGTGGCCATCAAATTTTAGCATAAGCAAATACATTTGCTTATGTATAGAAGCTGACCAATCAAACTTAGGTATATAAAATCAAACTCAGATATGAGATAGACGATACATTCATTCTTCGAAATTATTCCTTAAAATCACTAGTCACAAATACTGTCCTTGAACTACCTATGTACTCTTAGGGCCTTAAAGAGAATTACAGTACACTTAAATTTGGCATATTATGTACAGTTTAGATTGCTGAAGCTCAAAAGAGGCAAAGGAACTAAGGAAAGTAGAGGCACTATGACAATAGACCATGACCAATAAAGACTCAGAAAAGAATGTGCTCTCTACAACCTTATCTTAAGAGAACTCATTAGACTTGGAATATAAAAAACAAATGCATCATAAACCTATCTAACCAAATTAATGAGCAGATTTTCTAAGAGAAGCTAGGTCAATCTTTATTCTAAGATTGACCCTGGGGAGGATGCTCTCCCACAATGTATACCTTGGAGGCACTGTTGGCTCCAGAGCTTTTATACTTTACTAGATTTATCTTGAGCTTGATCCAACAAAACCATTCTTTAATTACTAATGCCAATTACATAAACCTCACTGTATCCAGTGAGCAAAGGGTAGATTTATCTAACTAGGTTACATGTAAAAGTCATTTACTGCTGTTAGTGATCCAACTCTCCAAGGAAAATGACAATAGAACAATGAAACAGTTTCTAGGTCACAAATACGTTAATGTTAAAACTGACTTTATTCTTCAATACAATAGCACTTGAGTTTTATAGGATTCTTTGCTTTTTTAAATTTGTCAATGTGGGGAAAATGAAGCCACTTAAACAGTAAAAATGTTTTAATTAATGCATGATATTTATTATAATACTAGATATAGTCTGTCACCAGCGTCTTAAAGTTTAGCTTGTTAGGGTTTAATTTACTAAATGGTATTCAGTTTACTTTGTGAGGACTCATGCTTTTTAAAGTTTACTTTACTATCCCATTCCAATATAACCCTATAAAATTTTTTTCCCATTGATGTGGGGGAGTATGAATTTAAAAGTGACTCACATTCAATTTGAGACCACCCCCTTCACCCTAAAAGAATAGGGGGGAAAAAGATAGAAGAGTGAGGCTGTGCAATTGAAGAAGTGCACCGACACAAATATTAAAACCACTTTTGATTTAATAGCAAAGGTAAAAAGACAACAATTACATATGAACGGTGCAATGTTACTTTTCAAAATAGAAATTAACACCAGATTTCAATTATCCTAGTAACAAGGCGATGCACAATGCTGAAGTTTACCTCCATACACATATAAGACACTAAGTAGGGTAGTAAAATATTCTAGCTTTTTTATTGAACAATGGCATTTAAATAGTGAAAGTTAGACTACAAGTGACCTGGAGTTCACCAGTCAATTTAAAGCTGTGAATTTTAGCTGTAAGCAAGATAGCTGTTTTAAAGCACACCAACCAGGCCATAGAGACAAATTATGAAAGAGGGAGGGTTCAAAATGAGAAGTGTAGTCTTGTGGAGAGATCATTTACTGCATGTAGAAAAATAAGTCTGATTCAGCAAATGGGACATCTGTAGTAGCCACATTAAGGATTTCTAGAACTATTTCTGACTTGTGATTTCTACCAGCATTTTCCAGGGCTACTTAAGGAAAGCCACATTTATATTAGTATTCATTAGTTCACTACTGCCATTGGAGACAATTTAAATAAAAATTTAATTCTCTCAATCTAAATGCTATTACCAAAAAGGCTTCCTCTCTCTTCCATAACACCATCATTGACCTAAATTCTGTGCACAAGAAATATTAGGAAAACGGAAATATCAAGAATCACACAAATTTAAAAGGGAAAGAGTAGAAGCAACACAGAATGCAAGAGATCAAAATGTATACAAAAATATACTGTTCAAGATAAACCTACATGCCAACTGAATAAACCAAATCAGACTTATATAAGAAGAGATGAAAATAGAAACCAATCTAAATTATGAAGCTTTTCTTTCCAATTCAAAAACAATTTTAAGGACCCTTTCAAAGGCTTTTCTTAGTAAAAAGGTCCTAATGACAATCCACAAATAGCATAAAGTCTTCCATGGTCCATTTTTCTACACACACCTTTCAGAATAGCATTCTAAAAACAGCTGTGATAAAAAAAAGAAAAAAAAAAGACCAAAAAATACAGTGAGAATTAAGGTAGTGTTAAATAGCACTTGAACAATATGCAATTTTCTAAACAATATGCAATATTCTTTGTTAACAGATGCAACACAATATGCACAATATGCACTCTGAAAGAACAGACACCAAATTCACATCTTTCATAACTTAAAATAAAAATTTCAACTAAACGCCATTACTAAATTTGCCAAGATTTACAAGTTATGTTCATAATCAGTGCCTTAGTATTGGAGGCTAAGTTTTACTTCAAAATTACACACTTACACACACACACAAACACACACCCTTGGCATGGTATGTCTAAAGCAAGATTAGATGTCTGAATGGCAAAAATTTAAGTAGACAATTAATGCTAATGTGTGATAAACAGGAAGTTTAATATCTTAAGGAATTGTGTTAACAAATATAATATTTTTGGAAAACATTTAATTCTTTCAAAAAGTCATTTCAGACTAATGTTACAATTAAATTAAGCCCTATTCACAATATTTGAAACAATATGAGTCCGATTCAATTAAGATGTACGACGGAATGACTAGGCTTGCCCAAATTACATTGTACATCTGAAATTACTGAAATTTTAAGTATCAAATTTAAACGAATACTGATTCTTTAAATAAAAAAAAAAAGTTTCTTATTTATCTTTCAGCTTAAAAGACCTGGCAGAGCCTAACACTGTGCCTGGCAGCTTGTCATCACAAATTTTTTAAAAACCCAGAAACCCCGCAATTGAAGCAAAACGTTCATCACGAGATTTACCTTCACTGTTAACTTGGAACACTAAAGCCAAAAGTAAAATCCATAACCAACTATTTCTCCTGCGCATCGCCTTAAAATTTGGTTGTAGTAAGAAGGGACAATAAAACAGTACTTACAGTTCTATTGAATTTGGTGAAAGAATGGTACATATAAAACCTGTGCATATAAACAATCGCAGTGTTTATTGTAAGCTGAGAGCTGAAACGTAACATTTAGGAAATAACTGAGGAAAACAAGATCTCCTTTCCAAAACGATTCTGATGGAAAATCCCTCATCTGCTGTTCTTTGCCCATGCCTCCCGTTCACACAAAAATAAACCAAAACCAGCAAGAAAACGAATAAATAAGCCGCCCCCTCGCCCCGGTGGTGAAGGCTCGACGCCAAACAGAACGCTGCACTCTAACACTCCTATTCAGCGAGCCCAGGAAGGATGTATCAATAGCCGCGACGGACCCAACTCAACCCCAGTTGAAACGCGCGCGCTCTCGCACACACCGCGCCGGGAACATAAAGACCCAGTGCGCTCCCAAGGCAGAGGACCGCCATCAAACAGGCGAGCGCGGGCAAAGGCTGCGAACACTTAGGCGCCTTTCAGCCTCGCTACCCCTACCTCTCCCCCCCTTCTCGGACGAGAAGCCCAAGCGGCCGCCGCTCGTCTGCCATGATCCCTAAGATTCCCCTCTCGCCTCGGCAGCACCCCTATCCCCCGCCGCCGCCGCGCGCGGCCCCAAGCGGTTACACAACGCAGCCTCCCAGCCCGCACCCCCGGCTCCTCTCCTCCGCCCCTCCTGCGCTGGCCGCTCGCGGCCTTCCGAGCCCGAGCCCACCTTCCCTGCTGGCGCGGCCGAGGCCCACCGAAGGCAGCGGCGCCATGTTCGCGGGGCACTTAGCCAGAGACCCGGCGAGGAGTGAGGGGACAGGGCGTGAGCAGTGGAGGGCCAAGCACAGGAAAGGATACACGTTGAGACGTTGTCCCATGTCCTGGATAAGGTTAGCTGCCTGCTGGCGGTACGAGAGCTCTTTATCCGCCTCCACTCCGCAGCGGCGGCTCGGCGTGTTCTCCAGCTGTTCCCGTGTAAAGAACCAGCGAGAAGAAGCTCCACGGCCCGACGCCATGACACTTCCTCCTCCGCCCGCTCCCTCGTCCACCCCCCGCCCCTCCCGGCTCGCGGACTCCCCGCCAAGGCCGCGCGACCCCGCCCCACTCCGCTCGCCGTAGACTCTGCACGGCCTCTTTTCAGCCCCGCCGCTGCTGTGCGCGTGCGCGGGAGCCGGCCTACCGGCTCGCGCTACTGTTTTACTTTCTTTTTTTTTTTCTGTCCCCGCCTCGCTTTCGCGTATGGGCCCATAATGCTCCGCGCCGCCTGTCATTTGGAGGCACCCGAAAGTGGGGGTCGGCGGAAGGTAAAGGTCGGCGCGGTGCATGCCGGGTCTACGATTGGTAAAGCAAAGGGGCGGGGAAGAGAGGAAGGAGGAGGTTGGCCAGGGGTCGGGTGGCGAGAGAGGCGGGGACTGCGCGGTGGGGCTTGGCCTTGGGCGCTGAAATCCGGGTGGGTTCTTGAGCTGGTAGTGTGGCGCTCTAAAAGAGTAAGATCTTCCTGTGTCGCCGCGACCTGGGACAACCTCCACTCTTCTCTAATGTTGGTCCCCGCAGTCTCGTGGGCTGCGACTACAGTGTTCAGGACAAACACCATCTGCCCAACCGGTGGCTCTGGGAAGGACCTGCCTGCCTGGGAAAGTGCAAACGGAATAAGGAATAACGCTCCAAGTGTGCATGGCGCTCAAGTGCTTTTATCCAGAGTTATCTTGTTCGAATCCCACCCCTGGCCGCTGGTTTATTATTATTTTTAATTGCTGGCCAAAGATTATGCAGTTAGTAACCAGAGGAGCTGACTTCTTTTTAAAATCCTCACCCGAGGACATTTTTGCATGTATCTTCAGATAGAGTGGGAGGGAGAGAGTGAGGAAGAGAGAAAATGGATGTGACAGAGACATATCCAGTCGTGCCCCTCACACAACCCCAACCGGGTGCGGACAAACTGCAACCAAGGTACGTGCCCTTAGCGGGAACTGAACCTGGGTCTCTCTGGTCCCTGGGCTGAGGCTGTAACCGCAGAGCCAAGCCGGCCAGGGCAGGAGCTAACTTTCTAGAATAGGTTTCTAGAATAAGTTTTGAGTCCTTATCAGTAGTGTGTTTATAAACTTCACTATTTAAATGAGATTAGCCCCGGCTGGTGTGGCTCAGTGGTTGAGTGTCCACCCAGGCACCAAGAGGTCGCCAGTTCGATTTTGGTCAGGGCACATGCCCAGGTTGTGGGCCCGATCCCCAGTGGGGAGCATGCAGGAGGCAGCTAGTCCATGTTCTCTCTCATCAATGTTTCTCTTTCTCTCTCTCTCTCTCCTTTCCTGTCTCTCTAAAATCAATAAAGAAAAAAATAAATAAAAAGAGATTAGGAGAAGCAGTACAAGAGGGACTGCGTAAAAATGTGTCTTTAGTAGTTAACACAGTAACACTATGTATATTTGTTAACTTCATCTCAAGTCCCCATGAGAAAAGACCACAGAGTTCCACTGTGGGCATAAGTAGGTCAGTGGCTCTGAGCTAATGCCTATTGTGTATGAAAAGTTCTAAATATAACATTTTAACACTACAGAGTATAGCCCTGGCTGGTTTTCTCAGTGGTTAGAGCCTTGGCCTGCAGTCCAGAGAGACCTGGGTTCGGTTCCCGCAAAAGGCACGTACCTCGGTTGCAGTTTGTCCCTGGCCCTGGTCGGTTGTGTGGGTGGCAGCCACTGGATGTGTCCCTTTCACGTCGATGTTTCTAGCTCTCTCCCTCCCCTCTCTCCCTTTCACTCTATCTGAACAAAGGGTGGAGAAATCTCCTCGGGTGAGGAAAAAAACAACAAAAAACAAAAAACAAAACCCAAACCAAACAAACACAAAAAACATTACAGAGTACAGGCAGACGTACTTCTAAAAGGCAACTGGTATTTTTTTTTATATTTTGTTCAGATAGAGGGAGAGAGAAACATCAACGTGAAAGGGACACATCGAGTGGTTGCCACCCTCACAACCCAACCAGGGCTGGGGACAAACTGCAACTGAGGCATGTGCCCCTAGTGGGAACCGAACCCAGGTCTCTCTGGACTGCAGGCCAACGCTCTAACTGCTGAGCCAAACCGGGCAGGGCGCAACTGGTATTTTTAATTGAGTTTCTGATTAAGACTCCAGGCTTTTGTCATCATTTGGGGGTTCTTATGCTCAGTGTAAGGGTGGATCTTGACTGTCTATCCCCATTTCACTACACAGTATTCAGCTATTTGGTTGCAGAAGACAGTTACCGTGAACAGCTGTCTAAATCACTCCAGTTCTTATCTATCTTGCTGGCCTCACTTTTTATGCTGCCTAGAAGTTCCAGGATTGATTTAAAGCAAAGTTTATAAAGTGCCAGCTCCAACACTCGTTCATGATAAAAATTCTAAATTAGGAATAGAAGGGAGCATCCTCAACTTGAAGATCATTTCTAAGAACCTACAGATAGCATTATACTTAGTGGTGAGATACTAGACGCTTTCCTGCCAAGTCAATGATGTTTCCTTTCTCCACCCCTTTCAACATTGTATTGAAGTCCTAGTTAATACAATAAGAAAAGAAAAGGAAATCAAGGTAAACAGATCGGGAAGGAAACAATAAAACTGACTTTATTCACAGATAACAGTTGTTTATGTAGAAAAAATCTCACCATGCTATATACGTGAAACTAATAATAGTATTTAATGTCAACTGTAATTGAAAAATGAAGAATAAATAAATAAAACAGACTATTACAAAAAAAAAAAAAAGGCACCTTATATATGGAATGACCACCACGGTATTAAGTAGAGGGGGAAAAGCAAGATGCTACTGTTTTGGTAAAATGAACAAAGGAATATGTACATGTAAGTATTTGTATAATAATAGACCATCTTTGTAAGAATACATACAAACACACACACACACACACAGGTAAAATTGGGCCTTCTGGGAGACATAATTTGAATTTGATCTTTTTGAACTCTTCTAATGTATTTATGTATTGACTTTTCAAAAATAAACTTTACGTGTTTTTATTAGGTTGTGAGCAGTGTTTTATATTCAGAAATGGAAACTTCAATCCCCTTTTGTTCAATTTTAACTGGGAAAAAGCCTTAGAGTGGTCTCTTTAAGTTAAATATAAAGTGGATTTATATTTTATTTTATTTTATTTATTTATTTATTAAAAAAAATTTTTTTTTTTCAGACAAACTGCAACCGAGGTATGTGCCCTTAGCAGAAACCGAACCAGGGACTCTGGTCCGCAGGCCGACGCTCTAACCGCTGAGCCAAACTGGCCAGGGCGGATATTTATTTTAATTAAGCTAATCTTAAGAAATTGCTTTGAACATAGGTTCAAGTTTTCTGGTTGAATAATATAAATTGAGTTGAATCAGAGCTGGCTTCCTTTTTAGGAGAGATTGAAAAGATGAGGAAGGGTTGTGTAAAAGGAAAAGAAGTGCTTGGATGGCTATGAATGGTTGTCCTTTGGAATCTGATGGTTCTGGGATTTTTTTTTTTTTTGTCGTCAGGGTTTAATTTGGAGAAGTACTTACAGTAGATAACCAAGGAGAAAAATGGCTAAAAAAGTTATTTTCTTGAGAGATCTTCAAGATTCTGAATATAAGCAATGTTGTATTAGGGCCAGAAGGGTCTTTTCAAAATTTGATTCTAGTTATGTCACCCCTTCCTTAAAAACCTCATTGTCTTTTGATAAATTTCTCAAATGACTTATGACCCCACATGATCTTGCTACTTTATACCAAGAACATTTGCCTTATTACCTCTAGCATCAGTGATCTTATTTCTTGCCATGTTCTCTCCTGCCATAAGGGTTTCATTTATGCTATTCTGTCTGTAGAATACAATACTCTCCCCTCTCCTCTTTTAGCTCTTGTCTGCTTTTTCTAATTCCATTTTAAGCATCACTTCTGAAAAGTCTCTCACCAACTCTGACTATTCCAAATCCCTTATTATAAGCTCTCTTCACGCTATATGCTCCTTCATAGCTCTTGTCTTCATAGCAATTTTATATTGATTTGTTGCTTATTTGATATCTGTCTCCCTAACTAGATTATAAGCACCATTCAAGGCAGGAACCATGTTTATTTTTATTTACATTTT